CAAGCTGTTGAAGATATTAAAAATGAATATAAAAATCAAAATATTATTCGATTCACAGCTCGTCACTGAGTTTTAACAGGTTCAGGAATTCCACCATTCATTACTATCCTTGGGCAAGTGAATATCGAACACAACACTAGACTTTTTTTTTAAGACTGAAAAGCTGGCTATCCTATGGAGTTTGAGAATAATTGAGATTCGTAACCTTTGGAATTCGTGATAAGCATTTGCCATCTAATAAAGCATGTCAAAAATAAAACAAATAATAAGTAAAGCTAATCAGATTTCTGTACCATTATTTAATGAAGACGACAAACAACTTCAGAAAAAATGTAAAAGAGTAATAGATTTCTGTACCTTTGCAATAAATAAAGTTCAACAAATTGTAAGAAATTGTTAATAAATATGTTTCGCTTATATAAAAATAAAAAACCCATAGGAATCTAAAAAATTAGTTTGATATTGTATGTGCAAACTTTAACATTAAGAAGGCCCGGTTCTGTCTAAACTTAGCTTATAAATTTCGTTAATGCCACTATGAGTATGATATTTCTAAACAATTGATTAGGAACCTCGTGTAAACAATTAGCAAGGAAAACTGTGAAATTCAGTACATACAGGAAATAATGTCATAAAACTGTACATTTCTTTTATATTACTAATACCTGTTACGTATTATAATTTCAAATGGGTTGAAACTGAGTCAAATTGTAATTAAATTTAGTAGTTAAATTGTACTTTGGATTTAGCAGTTAAGTAAAAGCCGATATATAATCAGTTTATGATATTTGCCAACAACATTGATACACACAGTTTTCTTTTTTAACACAAATATGTTTTAATATATACACAACAATACAATTTACAATAACAGTTATTACAAATAGTTATTACAAACAATGATTTATAAACAAAAGTTTCACAAACTTAAAAGCAATATAAAGTCTTCTTTCTAGTCTGGAATTTCCTTGATATCTTATCGAGGGTTCACGATGAGTGAATTAATTACGAGCTGATGTAGGTACAATTCTCTTAACTGGAAGCTAGCTAGTTTTGTCCTTCGTTATTTAACAGCCACACACGCCGACTTTTCCACCGTGACATGTTTTCGTAAAAATACTAATGTCCGATGAGAATCGACTGAAGTTATCAAAATTTCATGAAAATATTTTTCTAGATGTGCTTTACAATTTCAATTAACTTATGCTAACAATGTATCTTTAGAAAAGTTTGTACGTTATTTCTCGTCTGTTATTGCAACTCCCAGTTCTTCCAATGCTCGATAGATGGCAGAGCAATAGCCTTGGTATATTTTTTGAATATAACAACATTGGTTAGTACCAGCCTACCCTCAAATTGAAACTATTTTAGGCAGGATTAGAGTACATTAATCTATGAGGCCTTGGGAATGGTCAAATACATCAAGCGAAAGGGTTTGACCTTCTGGGTCCAAAACTTCTAATTAGGTCTCTGGGCCAACAGATGATGGAGCTATAAGCTAAACATTTGTACTTAAAAAAGAAAAACAAATAAATTCAGAGCCATTCTATGAGCCATTTAAGAAGCGGCTAAAAATATTTTTCTCTATATATTCGCTCAGGAACGAAGAAATCCTGATGAGTAATAAATTCGAATCGGGTCTACGGTCGTCCCACGCTTGGCATTGCTGGCGCACAAAAATATAGCTTATAATATTTGTGTGTTTGAACGCTCGAGTTTTGGGCCTTATTTTAAGTCTATTACACTTTATATGTGATACTTTGTGCTAACTCTTTTATCAAAAGTAAAATTGAAGATATTTTGATATATATATATATATATATAATTCTAAAGCGCCATCATGTGGTTCAAAGTGCTTACTACACTTTTATAATCTGTACATAACACGTTATTGTTTGAAGTTAAGTTGGGTATCGAAACACAGTATTTTACTGTGAAAAGGCCTCAGAATTACAGTTGAGCCACAGGGGGGATTTAGTATTTATTTGTTTGTAATTTGTCCCGACATGGCCAGGTGGTTATGGCACTCTACTCGCAATCTGAGGGTCGCGGGTTCGAATCCCCGTCACACCAAACATGCTCGCCCTCTCAGCCGTGGGGGTGTTATAATGTGACGGTCAATCCCACTATTCGTTGGTAAAAGAGTAGACGGTGGGTGGTGATGACTAGCTGCCTTCTCTCTAGTCTTACACTGCTAAATTAGGGACGGCTAGCGCAGATAGCCCTTGTGTAGCTTTGCACGAAATTCAAAAACATTACATTGTTTGTAATTAGGCACAAAGCTACACAAGGGGCTATCTGTGCTTTGCCCACCACGTTGTCAATCCGCAGACATGCCGCTGTGCCACTGGGGGGCAGGATTTAGTAATAGTAGTAGTAATTCAAGTTCAGTACATGTAAATGTAACAATTTCCAATTTCTTGATGTAAGGTATTTATTTATATTAGGAGATAGTTACAACAGAATGTGGAAATTAGTGATTTTTATAATTAGTGTTTTTTACTTGAGCTTTTTTTTTTCTCAAAATTGTCAAGTAAATACATGTTAAAATCATGGTTATCTTTAAATTCATTTCATCACTCAGATAGTATTACGATAGTGCTATAATAAATATGTGATTACCCCTCGCAATGTATGAACGAATTCACACATAAGTCTAGGCATTTAATTGGAAAGTTGTTTTCTTAATGTAAAGCTGCACAGTATGTTGTCTGTACCATTTCCACTGCAGGAAATCGAACCCAGGATTTAGTTAAAACTTACCGCTGACCCGCCAGAGGACTAATCGGAAAGGAACCATATGTAAGCTTGGCGTCCAAATATACGCATAGTTTCAGTGTTATAAATTTCAGATATGCTTTGTAAAATAAAACGGTATCACTTCCGACTTATTACCTTCAGTTAATTTTTTTTTGTTTTTTACAAAATTTAGACATCTTTCTAATATTCTCAGCTAAACAACATATATTCTCAAGTCAAATATCTTGTTTTACACAGGTGACCGAACAAATACAATTTGGGGCGTCACGCAACCTTGGACAAGAAGTTTAGTCCTATTGCTAAGATGATCCAGTTTCACGCTCGAAATGTTCTGGAAAGCTGATTTCATAAAGCGGAAATGCTGTTAATGATAAGCTTCAAATCCATTTTCATACTTCGTAATAGAACTTGAAATTCTGTTATTGTTTGTAGGACGTTGTGAACTCTATAGGCAAGTTATCTCTTTTTGAATCGTGTTTTATGTAGACGTGTTTTGGCAAGGAAGTTAACTCTAATTAGTAAGAAAAGAGAAT